AGGAGGAAGTAAGCTCCCAGCCTGAACCGCTCTGAACTAGCACGTACCAGATGGAGAAAATCTGTACGTTTTCATTTCCTTTCTACTTATAGTTTGGTCAAAAGAGGCCTCGTGTACAGGAAGTAATGGAAATTCCTCAGATTCCTGGACGGGAAGGGCTGAGCCTATCTTAAGCCACTGCTCTCTAGAAAGGAAATCCAATAAAGCCTCACACTTTGGCTTAGTAACAGAGCTGGGCCTGACTTATTTCACTGGAGTTTCTCCACTGCAAAAGCAGCGCAGCTGCATGCTCTCAGCAAGCCACAAATCAAACCCTGGACTGAAGAAAACGCCATGTTGCGGCGCAGGCCGAGCTCTGCTCTCCGTGGGGTGCCGTTTTCCAGACGCAAGGGAGCCAGAAACAGGCACATAAGGCCCCCCGCTCTGCCTCAGGCTCTGGAGTCCACCTGGGCATCCACTGCTGAGGGCCAGAGACAAATTGTGTTCGGGGCGATCCGCGCTGGCCGGCCGCACGTTTGCCGTCTCAGTGATTGGTACGCTAATTCCCGACACGCACGTGTGTCGGGGGTAAATGCGCACCGACACAAGGATGCGCACGTAATTCTGACTCTCCCTCAGGGCAGCAAGGAGCGTGGGATGCTGCTAGGGCAGCGGGTGTCTTTACTGTAGGGAGGAACGGGAAAGAGGAAATGAAGGGAGAAAACAAACACCCCCTCCCAAATTCCCACACAGCTGCCGTCGCCGGCTAATGACTTGGGCTTCAGACCAATAAAGCTGTCGGAGATGGCACAAACTATTTAGCAGTAAACTAAACCTCATGCATCAGACCAGCTCTTGGAGAGTCAGCAAGAATATTTCTCCAGGATCACCCTTTTGCTAAGCAGTTATACCTCAATGCACGAGTCACCTTCGTCTTAGCACGGACACAGCTGCACTAGCGGCACTTTTAAAACCCAGCTGTTGTATCTGGCCCTGACTTTCGGCAGGGCAAGCTGGCTGCAAAACACAATTGAGCCTGTGGTAGCGAAAAGGCGGCACTAGCACATCTCCCAAGTATCTCGAAACCAGCTCTCCTCCGGGGCCAAACAAGCGTCAGGAGGAATTTCTGAAGTGACTGACAGACCCTCCAAAACCGTCACCACGAAGCCCACGATACGGCCAAGGGCAGAACCATTAGGAGGATGAGTGTTAGTTCCCTGTCAGGCTGGATAGGTCGTAGGTTTTAGGAAAGCAGGTGCAAGGGTGAAGGAAAAAAAGAAAAATAAATCAACTTCCCAACTCCAAAATAGCCTCTCCCAGCTTAAAAAAAGTCATCCAGAACAGCACTGGTCTTAACTGTTCCCAGTCAGACATACCTATGAGCCCTAACTGCAGACCACAGCCAACCTTCCTTTGGTGCCTTACAAAAGGAAGGTCCCTGCCACTCTGCTGAGGATACAGAAAGAAGCCAGGAGAAAGCAACGATCCTCATAGCAGGCTTTGTTAGGTAAAGCAACGGACAGCCTCAAATGCTGACAGCAAAATCAGTTTGCATGGACTGACGAGGAACTGCTCTATAGAGGGAACGACAGGAGGAGCGTCTGGAAATCAATCTTTTGGACGCTCTGCAGTACTGGCTGACAGGTAACAGGTTGAAGACAGACTGAAAGGCCTTACAAGTGAGGGCTAGCAACTTATATTTGATATGGTAGAGCAAGAGCAGCTCAGGGAAGGGTGTAAAGACAACTGACATAACTTCAGCAACAGGCTGCAGAAAGATCTGTAGAGACCTGCTTCCTCCACCTAAACTTTCCAGGTCGATCTGAAATGGGTCATGTTCAGCTCTCAAAACACATCCCATTCAAGCACCCCCGGTGATGTTTTATAGGCACTAGAAAGAATGCATGCCCTTCTGCAGGACTGCACACATTTTTAAAATATTAAGGCAAGAATAAGCTTTCTCAACCACTCAAGCTTTTCCTGTGCACAAATCCTAGGCCCTGAGGGCGGCTCCGCATTGCACAAGGTTTTTTCTCTCCAACAGCACTTTAGATCTAAGCTCCTCTAAGTGGACTACTACCTCCTCCGTTCTTCCAAACCGCAACAACCCCAGCTCTCTGATTGTACAAGGCCCGAGTTATGCTTTCCTACCTGAACGGTTTGCTGTCTGGATCTGTGTCCTTGAATCCCATCTCTTCTAGTTTGCAGCGCCTGTACAGCTCATAGTGTCGGGTGTGTGTCTGCTCCCTCAAGTCTTCCATGTTCACTCGGATCAGCATCTCCCGCAGCTTCACAAAGTCACAGTGATTTTCATTTTCAACTGCAAAAAAAGCAGACCATTCGTGGAGACAACGGTGAAGCCAGGAGCCAGTGGATTTCTCCCTTTTCCTTTTCTGAACCCAGACCCCAATTTAGCAAGCCTGAATGTCCTTCAAGCAGACAAGCAGAACTCAAAAGTCAGCCTGTAACAACTCGCCTTGCTAAACTGGGGGGTGAATGCCAAACACGTGCATCAGAGCAAAACCTTTCACCGGTTTTGTATGATTTCCTGCATCAGTGAGAGAGGTACTGATCTGTCTGCACACGACGTTTCACTTCACACTCAAATCCACTCTAAATGCAAATCACTGAAGGGAGCCCAGGCAGGCAGCAGAGTCTGTTTGCAACGGTAGTGAAAGAAAAGGCCACGAGAGGACCCCGCCAGAGATGCTGTACTCTTCTCCCACGCCTGCTTACCTCTCAAAGGAGCTTTAAATCCCTGCTCCTGGCACTGAAAGGGAGGCAGCAGGCAGGCAGGGTATACCATGGCCTCTCGTAACCATTTCTACTCAGAATGGGATTAGGAGTGCCACGGTCCAGCCCTGGGGAGAGCGAGCTGTGTAGCCCGAGAGGTGACTGGGGCCAGAGGGCTGCACGCATCACTGCGGCAAGCAGCTTGGGTGTGTTGAAAAATTGGGGCTGCAAGTTCTTCTTTTAGGATGTAACAGTGAGCAGCAGGTGTCCAAGCTGCTAACAGACCACTCTGCGGCATGCCCCTAGGGGACCCAGCAAAGCACTCCAGCTGCTCCCCTTTGGGCCAGAGCAGCTGTTTCAGAGGAAAGGGGCAATTCAGGGCCAGATCTTCAAAATTTCTCTGGTAACCAACTAAATTGCTGAACGATCCGGTCTTAAGTGGGAAAGAGCAAGAACCCAGCAGGATACGTGTCAAATATGAGACTTCCCAAACCAACTTCTTTCCTAACCGAGTCGTGCCCACTATTGCCCTCCAGCTCACGCAGCTAGAGATAGTAAGTCTCAAGTTACTTCAGGGTCAGACTGTGTTACTGAGAAAAGCTAGGCGAGTTGTGCAGAATTGTCCTGTAGATGCTCCCCTGTAGCTTGCTAGGTTGTTCTCCAGTCAGATACGTGGCTGAAGCCACAAGTGGACCACCTCTGGGAGCGGTGGTGAAGATAGGGACAGTAATGGTCTCCCCCTTTATTTCCCAGTGTTGGCTGGAAAAGCAAAGACGGGCCCTATCTTTGGCAGTATTGGTACAATCTGGGTTGCAAAGGCAGCACAAGCCAAACTCTGCTCTTCATTAGAAGAAAAAAGAGCTTTCGGCGACCTCAGCAAGGATCGTACACTCAAGCTGCATGTCCACGTTTCCTTAGGGTACAAGGACAAGATAAACTAAGTAGTCAGTGTTAAATTAGTTCTGCTCCCATTTCAAGTTGAACGGGCAGAGACCTGCTGACTACTCCCCCAGCACAGAGACTGGCTTCCTGGAAAATCCTCCAGCTACGCGTTTGCATTCAGGCTCATGTGCAAGGCCCAAACTGAACCATTTAGCTACCCAAGCCTTCCCCTCATTGCTCAGACTTTGCTTGCTGGCAGAAAAGCATCAGGAATAGAGAAGGATGATTTAAGTTTTCATTTTTCAACTTAGTTACTTAACATCTTTTAGTGATCCTACCCCGTTCCTTCACAAAGCAAACAGCTGGCTTGCAAAACCTCTTCTTCGATGTCTATATCTAGGTTGCAAAGCTCTGTTTTTGAGGAGAGGCCTTACAGCAGAGACCTTGCTATGGCACATCCAAAGATCAACGTGCCTTTCATGAGAAAGGGACAGAACTACAAGGACTTATTTGTGCCTTTGGTAACATACCCTGCACAACACCCCATGGGTACTGCCTGGCTTTTGCCATCTTGTTGCCAATCTTCACTTCTTCAGTGCTGCCAACTACGGCAAACGGAAGGTGGACCTACAAAAGGAAAGGGAAAATGAGGTTAGGGATTTCCTTTGTTGCGTTGCCAGCAATTGTTTCTGAAGAAAGCTCTTTACTGTGGCAGCTGTGCTGGATTTAAGTTGCTTAAACTCCCTTTGCTATCCAACTGGTGTTTCAGAAAGAGCAATAGAGCAGCCTGGATTAGAAGCCTGCTCAGATCTGAAGTCCAAAATTCTAAAGTCCTAAATAAACAAAAGCAAGCAATGCACATATTTCACATGTAATTACAATGCATGACTATCTTAAGCACAGGAAGAGTCTTAGAAAATTGAAATGAATTTGAGCATTGAGAAAAAATACCTGTCAAGTAGTAAAAAAAAAGAAAAATTGCATCCTCTCAAGCAAGGTAGGCTAAAAATTCAGGGGATTTCTGCTGCTAGAAATAACAGCTAATGTTTCCTCTTAAAAAGGGCAAACGTTATGAGCAAGGGGAAGAGCCAAGCCGACCCAGCCCAGAGCTGACACGTCTGAGTCATCGGAGCTCTGCTGCGTCCCAGGCACTCCGTGGGTGTGGTGGGGACAATTTGGCAACGCGGGATCTAGTCCCAGAAGCACAGCCACTGCCAAGAGGGAGCTTGCCTTGCCCGCCAGCCACCCCCCTCAGCGCTCTGCCTGCCTTCATGGCATCTGCAAGGGCTGGGTGCAAGCCTGGGGGCACCTTGGCGGCCACGCCGTGGTCACGGGCTGGGCCGGAGGAGAAGGAGCCAGACAGCAGAGCGGAGGCGATTAACTGGCAAATGAGCTTCCCATCAGCCATGCTCCCGCAAGCTGATGTGGCAGCAGCTGTGCAAGCAGCTCCAGAGGGAGAAGACAATGCACACGCTGTGTGAGATGCTCCGGCAGAAGCGTGTCCCTTCTCTGGGCCACCTTCTTCCCCAGCGAGAACGAACAGGATCTTGGAGAGGGTCTGATATCCAGCCTGCTCCGGGAAGAGCTACCTCCTCCCCATCCCACCTCCTCTCTGCCTTTGGTTGCACAATTGTCCACCTATAAGCAATTGCATGGGGACGAGCCTTCAAACTGCAGGCAAGAAAACGGCCCTGCAAGCACTGCTGCGATGCCAGAAACCCCGAGTGCAGGTTCTTCCCCTCGTGCTGCACGTCAGGCCCATGGGAAGCCATCCATGTTTCTCCATGGAAACCTTGTTACAAGCTCATTCTACCCCAGCTGTGTTTGCCCACGATTTCTACCACTGCAGTCGCCGGAGGAAGGGGAAGGTGGCGAGAGCCAGAGTCCCCACCACAGACAGCCCCTGGCTCTGCTGAGAGCTGGAATATCGTCGACTGCGCCCCTGCTCGCACCGGAAACTGAAACAAAGGCAACTGTGAATCACCCCCCCGCCCCAACCAAGCAACCAGTGGTCATTTGGGACAGGAAACCCAAACCCCAGCCCTCTGCCCTGATCGCTCCAGAGCCCTGCCCCCCATCCTCTTCCTTTCCTGAAATGGGAATACTGCAATGGGGGAAGGATATGAAGAAATGCTCAGATAAGGATCCTTTGTCAGATAACAAGGTATAACCAGCCAGGCAGCCCACATCTTGCAGGTATCTGAGCTGCAAAAAGCCTTCTGGCCAGCATGATTGCTGTGCTTAGACCAGAGTTTGAAAGCCAAAAGCAACACGGCACTACGTGCCCTGTCTTTGGGAATGGGCCTGAGGGAACCAAGGAAAACAAACCCCAAAAGCAAACATACGCTCATCGTGGCGTTTATCTCGGCCACTGTCTCTTCGTCCGTCGGAAACTGGTAGATCTGGACACCGTTGCTGACCAGCTCACTCATGATTTTACTCTTGAACTTGTGCAACTCGTTTTTTGCAATGGTGTCAGCCTTGGCAATGATGGGGATGATGTTCACCTGCAAGACAGCGACAGCACCCTCATGTAGAGGACTGCACAGACTGCGTCACCAGCAGAGGTCCTGTAGCGATAGCCCCAGAAGCACGCCACCAGCCATCCACCCACCCAGCAAAAGACCTTCCTTGTGGCTGAGGCTGACAGCACCCCTGCCTGAGACAGGATTTTCAGGCAGCAGAGATGATGGCCTTAAAAAGAAGTCAAATGCAATTTGGCAACATGCTATTTCCTGTGCTGTCATAGTCCACTCCTTGTCTGAATTAGCTGGACAGGAAATGCTGTCATGGGCTATTACAAGCTGTTCCAAAAAAAAGGAAATTACCATCTAGGTACTTCTCCTCCGAGCTGCAGCAGCCTGGATGACTGCAGGCAACACACTCGGACAATAGCCTCCCGCAGGGGTTTGCCTGGACGTTGCTACTGGGGACACCCGGGCAGGCAGCGGGGCAGCTGTTACACTGCTGGAGGTGGAAGCGGATGGTCCAGACCCAACCGAGCGACATGCACTGTGGGGGCTGGAAGTAACAGGAGGAGGAAGCAGGCCTCTGTATGCCTTTGCATGCTCCCATGCTCTGCTGTACTACAGGACTAGGGTTTGATTTATCCCTGTGCAGCTCTAAGACTATCACTAAAGGAAACAGCACGATGGGGTTAACACAGATACAAAGAGTAAATTACTGCCCCTCTTCCCTAGACAGGCTGTTTGTTATATTGGCAGAGGGACGGCAAATGACAGCACCTAAGAGCCAAGGAGAGCTAGCACGGCACCTTCGGTAGAGCCGAGCGGATCTAGGCACAGCGAGCACCATGCGGACACCTGCTTCGCTGGGAGAGAGCGAGAACGCGTTAGGAGGACACTCTGCTTTCTCTTCCCTCCCATCCCGCCAGATGGCCGATTTCTGCCTTTGATCTCGCAGGACTTGCTTTTCCCTCGCTCTCCCTTAAAACAGCAGACAACACTGCTGGTGAGGAAGATGTTAATATGAATATGAAGAGATTTTAACTACCTGACTTGAAAATCCTTTTATACCACATCACTTAATTTTGTTCAGAGGATGCCCCACAGTTATTAATCCACCTTTGCCGAAAGAATGAAGATGAATGCCAATTAGCCCATTTGGGGTCAACCTCTAAAACCCTATTTTAACTTGCAGAGGACAGGGATCGTTCCCCACCGCCGCATAAAGCCCAATCAATAGGCCATTCTAGGAAATAAAGAACCATTGTCATCATTTATCTTCTGCAGCATCAGGATCCAAGGAGCCAAAAGCACAAGAGGGACTGATTTAAATTGCTTAATCATGATGTAAGAGAGGCACAGAGAAACCTCAGCTTAAATTCTGTTTTACATTTGTACTTTAGTTATTTTCCCTAAAAAAAAAAAAAAAAACACGTCTTCTCGTGAGGATCTAATAAGACAGCATGCTTTATACCAGGTTTTGTTCCTCTCTCTGCTCATCAGAAGGGTAACTGAGAAAATGCAGAGTAACACATTTGTTCAGATGCTTACTGTTTATCAGATCTACACAGTTAGAACAACACTGCATTTGCCACAGAAGTTCAAATCACTGTTTGTGTCTAGCTGGATGCAGTCTGAGCAGACACACACAGCATTTTGATTTGTTTTTCATTGATTAGTAAGATGACCTTAAGTGTTCTGGAGGTACTTCTCCCCATCATACACACATATCAAACCAGGTTTTGCACTGAAACCTAACTAATTTATTGAGCAAAGTAAAACAGAGAAGAGACTCATGCCTTTTTGAGGGCAAGAACTAGCAGAGCTCAACTTTAATCTCTCATTCTTACTTATGGATCAAAACAGGAAAACACTTTTCTGTTTTTTTTAAACAGCCAACTGATCTTTCAGTTCTGTCACTGAACTTGGCTGAGTTAACCCACAGCAAAGCAGTAAGAACCAGGATCTGCTATAGCACCTTAGCAGCGACAGTGTTTTCCGCTCTCAGATTGCCAACTGTACAGGACGGCTGTGGAGCAAAGCAGCCAAGCTTTCGAACCACAGGAGAGCGGACTGGAAAAAGATGAGAGCCCAAACTCTTATCAAATCTTTGCAGAGTGCAAATCAGAATGACCCATCCTACCAACTAGCCCAAGGCATTAAGGTTTTCACACCACACCTCTGCAATTACCCTCTACTAAAAACAGACAGTGGTTTTTTGTGCAAATTCGGCTACACTCACGGCAAAGTCATGAAAGCCCTAGCTGGGTCATAACACGGGCAGCAAGTACCTTACTGTCGAGCTTCTTCATGGTGACCAAGTCTAGGGATTTCAGTGAGTGTCCGGTTGGTGCAATGAAATACAGGCAGGCATGAATCCTGGTGTCGTGGTAATTGAACAGGGATCGTTTGATCTTCAGCTCTTCTTGCAAGTAGGCTTCAAACTGCGCATCGATATATTCTACTATGGGCTTGTAGCTGAGGAGACAGAAAACACAGCGCTGAGCAAGCACCAGGGCATTCGTTGTTGGGCCCACACTCAGAAAGCCTCATGGCTGCGCTGCGCGTTATGGGGACAATGCTGGCCTTGGGACCTTCCCTCCCCAACCTGCAGTCCCTTCTTATCAAGCATGCATTTCCACTGAGCGCCCAGGGGGAAGTTACAGACAAGGTTAGCTAAAGAAAGTGGCAGAGACCCTGGGGTTACGTGCAAGTCAGACCACACACGGCTGACACTCTGGAGAAGGTATTTCTGGACAAACTTGAGTGACTGCAAAACGTGCCTGTGATCTTAAAAGAGGAAAGGAAAATTCACACGGGTATAAAAAGAACTTCTCGGGAATTAAGCCTGTGAGCAAAGCTTAGCAGACACTGCACTGTTTGAGGGCGTACTCTGGGGGAACAGTTTTGCTGGGGACAAAAATGCTGAAGCAGTGTAATATGCCCTGATCTGACTAATCAGTTGTGCTTCTGGAAGGGAAACTTTTGCAGTTCACAAAACTCTACCATCCACGGCAGGCCCCCTGCAGGGGGTCCCCAAGGTCCCTAGCCCAAGGAAGCCCTCGAAGGAGGGCACCGAGTCCAAGGCACCAAGACAGTATTACCACTGCCCTGAGTGTTAGATTCACGGCTGCCTCTATGACCTCCTTAAAAAGCAGCTGTGAAGAGGAAGTAGGAGTTCAAGAGTTTCCAGATCCTCCTTAAACGACTTTCCACCAGGCAACCAGCAAAACTTTGGACCGATCTCTCTGCTTCAGCTGCCAGGGAAGCTGTTTGAGTAGTTGCTCAAAAGCTGGGTGAAGCAGCTCAGACTCTTCAGTGATTTACCGAGCGAGAGGTGCAGCCCAAGGCAGCTGGTGCTGCAGGACAGCCCCCTGCACGGGGCAGGATGCCAGAGACCCACGAGAGACCACCTAACACCGTTAGTCAGCAGACACAGAGGGTACTAAAGAAATCTCGCTAGGCGAACTTGCAACACTGCTGGTCCCTTTGTCTTTGCAAACTCCGTCTCTGGCCAGGAGACCCCAAAAACCTCAGATAAGAGGCAAGTGGCAAGAAAAGCAGTAAAGATCTACTCAGGGGAGGTCACGTTAGAGAAAGCCCTGTAAAAAGTGGACAGAAAAAGGACTGGGAGGATGAGCTGGGTGCAAAAAGCAACTCCCCCATTGCAGTGACAGGTGAGAAGTCTCCAGCTGTGCCGGGTCAGAACAGGACAAAAGCCATCCCTAAACCTTACCACCCCATGACCACCCCTCTCCAACTGCAGGAGAGGGAAGTTGGAGGGGCTTCGCTACCGATGCTGCCAGCTCTTGCTGCCTGCTGAATGAAGCAAACGCAAAGTGATGCGGCAGTAAGGAGCCCCAGAGCGTCCCCTCTCTGAGCACCTGCTCCTCTTCTGAGTGACTTTTGTTCTTGCTGGAGAGCATATGGCAGCGCCTGACACCCCGAGCTTCCTTCAGCCAACACGTGCCTCTCTCCAGGTCTGCTCCGTGGCAAGGAACGGGGCATTAGGAACAGAGCAGGATCAACAGATGCATTTAGTATTTTGGTGTGAGCACAGGAAACAGGAAAGCATTCCAGAAATAAAATAATTTTAAATAACGGTAACTTAAAAAACAAAGAAACGTTCATTGTGGAACAGGAAGTGGTACCTGCTCAATCGCCATGCTAACATGGATTTTGGTATAAAATTTGCTTTCAAGCTTGCATTTCTAAAAAGCTTAGGTGAGCGTCTGTCTGTCCACCTACCCGCCAGCCCTAGCGCCCTAATAGCTTTTGCCCAGTGCACACACTGCTGGCCAGCATGCCCTCCCTTGGCCAGGCGTGGGGAAGGGGGTCACAGACAACCCTATGAGGGAAGCTAGGATTACTGCAACAAGGGAACATATGACTCTGAGCTGTAGGAAATGTGTTAATTAGCTTATTAGTTGCGATCACAGAATAACTGGTTTTAACACAAGAACAAAAGCCCATATGGACAGACAGAAGGGATTGTGTAGGCTGCCCAGAACACAAGCTGCCCAGAATATTTACTTTACGCACGCAACAAGAAAAATCAGCACCTACAGGCTAAAGTCAAACCCACCTGGACTTTAACATCGCCAAAGGGTGTGAGCAGGAACTATAATCTAAGTTCTAGCTCCCAAAAAGACAGCAATACAACCGCAATTTGAAGTCATATTTTCAAATATTCGTTTCAATTCCAGTAAAGACAAATTAAGCCAGTCAGAGGCCAGGAGGGCAGAAATGCAGTTTCAGTTCTGTAATTTTCTGGTTAATCTGTTTGTTCTTTGCTTCAGTGTCTTTTAACTTTTACCTGTCTCACAGGGCTAGTGATCTTAGCTGCTATACCAGGATCAGGAAGCGACCCCCAGGAGCGGCAGGGATCCACCCTGCTCCCAGCATGCAGTCAAGCCCTTCTGACCTCAGAGTACGTCAGTATGAGAACTCCTTCTCTGGGCAGAAATAAATTTACCTGTCATCTTTGTTAATTTGATCGCCAAATCCAACTGTGTCGACAATCGTCAGCTTCAGACGGACGTTACTCTCCTGGAGCTCGTAACTCCTGGCTTTCAATCTCACGCCAGGCTCGTTGTGCGTAGCAGGTTCGCTTTCAAACTTTGTGTTGAACAGAGTGTCCATCAACGTCGACTTGCCGATGCCAGTTTCGCCTGAGCAGACAGAGGCAGCATTAGGACTGCACGATCCCCTTTCCCCACCTCATTCTCAGGCACATCCGTTAGTGGAATAATTCCTTACCCTTCGGTAGCAGTGGAATCGGGCTAAACGCACGTGGCTAAGCAAAACAATCCCTGCAGGAATAGATGTCTTATGAGACGGTCCTCATCTTTACCAATTCCCCAGGACTGAACTGGGGACTTTGTGGACATCAGGAGGCGACAGCAGCGCTGACCAATTTCCTCCGCAGATCATACACAGTCGGGCCCTCTGCAGTACACACTGCAGACATCCCCGCACTGGGGGCTGTGAATCCAAAACGAGCCCCTGCTACAC